GTGGGGGAGGGGAGGGGGAGGGGAGGTCCGGGAGGAGGCGTTTGGGGGGTCCTGGGAGGGATTTCGGAGTTTGGGGGGGGGTCTTCGGAGGAATTTGGGGCGTTCTGGGTCACCGGAGGGTTCTGGAACAGCGGAAGGTTCCGGAACAGCTCCAGGTTCTGGAACAAGAGAAGGTTCCAGAACAACAGTGGGTTCTGGGTCACCGGAGGGTTCTGGAACAGCAGAAGGTTCTGGAACACCTGAGGGTTCTGGAGCACCTGAGGGTTCTGGGTCACCTGAAGGTTCTGGAACACCGGAGGGTTCTGGAGCACCTGAGGGTTCTGGAACAGGTTCTGGAACAAGAGAAGGTTCCGGAACAACAGTGGGTTCTGGGTCATCGGAAGGTTCTGGAGCAACAGAAGGTTCTGGAACAACGGAGGGTTCTGGGTCACCTGAGGGTTCTGGGTCACCTGAGGGTTCTGGGTCACCTGAAGGTTCCGGAACACCTGAAGGTTCTGGAGCACCTGAAGGTTCTGGATCACTGGAGGGTTCTGGAGCACCTGAGGGTTCTGGGTCACCTGAAGGTTCCGGAACACCTGAGGGTTCTGGAGGAACAGAAGGTTCTGGATCACTGGAGGGTTCTGGAGCACCTGAGGGTTCTGGAACAGGTTCTGGAGCAACAGAAGGTTCTGGAACAATGGAGGGTTCTGGGTCACCTGAGGGTTCTGGAGGAACAGAAGGTTCCGGAACACCTGAAGGTTCTGGAGCACCTGGGGGTTCTGGAACAGCAGAAGGTTCTGGAACAAGAGAAGGTTCTGGAGCACCTGAGGGTTCTGGATCACCAGAAGGTTCTGGATCAAGAGCAGGTTCTGGATCACCTGAAGGTTCTGGATCACCAGAAGGTTCTGGATCACCTGAAGGTTCTGGAACAAGAGCAGGTTCTGGATCACCTGAAATTTTTTGGAATTCGTCCATTTTTGGTGCATTTTTGGGAACATTTGTGGTTTTTTGGGATTGGGGCTGGATTTGGGGCACCGAGAGCTGAATTTTGGGGCTGGGGGGAGTCACGTGACCCAACCCCCACCCCACACCTGGCACCACCCAAAAACCGCCCAAAAACCGCCCAAAAACCACCCAAAAACCACCCAAAAACCTCCTTAAATGGGCTCAAAAACCACCTTAAAACCACCCTAAAACCCGACTTAAAACTGCCCTAAACTCACCTTAAAACCACCCTAAAACCCAACTTAAAACTGCCCTAAACTCACCTAAAACCGCCCTAAAACGGCCCTAAAACCGCCCTAAAACCTGACCTAAAACTGCCCTAAAACCTGCCCTAAAACTGCCCTAAAACTGCCCTAAAACCTGACCTAAAACTGCCCTAAAACTGCCCTAAAACTGACCTAAAACTGCCCTAAAACCTGACCTAAAACTGCCCTAAAACCTGACCTAAAACTGCCCTAAAACTGCCCTAAAACCTGACCTAAAACTGCCCTAAAACCGCCCTAAAACTGCCCTAAAACCGCCCTAAAACCGCCCTAAAACTGACCTAAAACTGCCCTAAAACCTGACCTAAAACCACCCTAAAACCGCCCTAAAACCTGACCTAAAACCTGACCTAAAACTGCCCTAAACCCTGACCTAAAACCTGACCTAAAACTGCCCTAAAACCTGACCTAAAACCACCCTAAAACTGCCCTAAAACCGCCCTAAAACTGTCCTTAAACCGCCCTAAAAGCACCCTAAAACCAACCTAAAGCCGTCCTAAAAACCTGTCTTAAAACCGCCCTTAAACCCGACTTAAAACCACCCTGAAACCGTCCTAAAACCGCCCTTAAATTCCCCTAAACTCACCCTAAAACTGTCTTAAAAACCACCCTAAAAACACCCTAAAACCTGTCCTAAAACTGTCTTTAAAACCGCCTTAAAACTGCCCTAAACACACCCTAAAACCACCCTAAAACCAACCTAAAAACCGCCTTAAAACTGCCCTAAACTCACCCTAAAACCCTTTTAAAACTGCCCTAAAATCT